AACAGTCAACACCAACCCAAAGTACTTTCTAGACAGGGACTCTGGAGAGAGGGGCTGGAGGCTGAAAGATGCTTAACAGGAGTGTTTACAGCACTTTACAAACTCATTTCACGTTTCAAAAATGGAAGCCAAGGCACAAAGTTGATAAAAAATTTTAGGTAATGACTGAAAATATAATCAGGATCACCTATCTTTTCTTGTTCAAACAACTTGTTTCCTATCTGCAATTCTATTAATATCATGGTAGCAGTGAAGCACTCTGATGCCTTCCACATCTGTACATTATCTGTACTTCTTCTCTCCAGTACTGCTGTAAAACTGCCTTTTAAATTGAAGCAGAAACATATAGTCAGCTTTTCAAAATGTCAGAAATCAAAGTGTTTCAAAATCTCCAGGTAGTCTTGACAAAATTTCTGTAATGCCACAATTGAGACATTTCCTACCTGAGGACTTGTTTTTGAGTTGGAACCAATAAAAATGAAGTTAAAAAGCTGAATGCACTTTCATTTTGGCCTAAGATAACTGACCAGCTGCCATTCTGGTTTAGCTTTTTCTTTGTCACATTATACTGTTGATTTTGAAAACCCTCATAGTAAGTTTTTATGTATTTCGGCATTGTCATGATTTAATTGTTGATGTGCCTGCACTACAAAAGATGACATACTATGTGCTGTGACTGACAGAATATACATGTCAACAATGCTTTACCAAAAAAGAGTGCTCAGCTAAAGCAGGGAGTGGGGACAGGACACTGACAACAAAAACAGACAGTTCTCTCACTTGTCCAAATCACTCTCTGTTCTCAAATTACTGGCAGGCAAAGACATATCTGTTGGTGCCAAATTATATTAGAGCCATCAGCAATAAATCAAATGCAAGGACAATGCCATAATATGTGGAGCTACAGGGACTGACAACATCCATTGGCAATGAAACATGAAAACGAGAGGCTGCAAAGTAAAGTGAGACAGTAGTACTTAAACCTCCTTAGGCTGGTTATGCTGGGAAGCAAAAAGATGAAGAGCAGCAAAGTCTGTATGACCAGGTGGGAAGCCAGAGTCTTGCAATGCTAAAGCCTGGGCTACTCAAAGCATTGGTGAATGTCTCAGCACAGACACAGCAGACAAAACAAACACCAAGCATAAATGCAAGGCAGATCTAACGTAATGATGGAGTTTATTTCAACAATAAGCTCTTGTTGACAACAAAAGCTCACAAGAGTTGTCATGTCTTCCAGAACACAACTAAAGGCCCAATTCACAAGTGACACACAGAGGAACACGGATACCTTGGCCAACTTCAGCAAGTGCAACTTCCCCTGTGAGGAAATGGGCAGGAGGATGAATGAGGAGGAAAACCAATAAGGGGATGGGGGGCAGGGAAGTGAAAGACAAAGCAGTTTTTTGTAGGGAATTAGCCACACGTTCCAGCCTGCTGCTACCCTGGCAATAGCTACATGCTACAGCCATGCTGTTCTGCCATCTGTTTCCCTTGCTGCAAGACTCAGGTGCAATGTGCACCTGGTAAACACTTAAGCCAAGTTTGGCTTAAAGATTTTGTGTAGGGCAAGTGTGCACCTCTCTATGAAACTTACATATACCTCCTTCACAGAAGGAGGGGAAAACCCACATCAACTATCTGAAGATTAATTTTTATGTTGAGTTGGCATAGGTACCCACAATAGAAATAAATCCATCAGAATAGAGCATCAGATGTTTTTTCCCTCTACAAATCTAGGCTCATTTTGTGGTGTTCTGGGTCAGGAATTAGTTTTTCACTGGGGCACATGTTTGCATATCAGTTAATCCACATGATTCTTATTTTACTCCATGTTTTCCATAGCATTTCCTGATCAGAAGAGGTGCAGAAGCTGCTTATCTGCCAGTAAGCAATCTGACATCACTCTTCTAGCAAGAGATTTGCATCAAACAGTCAACATAATTCTGTAAGTCAGAACATCCATTTATCATGCCATGTCTCAGACCAATTTAATTCATTATCTTATCAAGATACTGTGTTGATTTTAACTACTGAAATATGAATATTACGGCAAACTTGTTGATCCAAAGGACACGTTATCACGACCAACTGAAAGCTCATGGTAAGTAATTAATTTGTCTTTGGTAAAACACACTGTGATCTTCTGGAAATTTCCTGGAAAACAGTCCCCTCCTATTCCTAGCCCTTGTAAAGAAACAAGACTTTTTTACACAGGAGTTGCATTAGAGCACCAGCTCTGTCTCATACTGCTATTATGAAAGGCTTGCACTTTGGGCTTTTGCAGAGGTTCAGCAGAGCTGCTGTTCACTGCATACAGGTTTTGCAAAGACTCACTCTGTTTAGGAGATACTAATGCCTCTGCACCTTCCAAAGATTTTAGAAATAAAACTCTTACAGGTTTCTACTGCTAGGATTAACCCTCGTCTTCAGGTTGACAGTCCCACTCTAGGTAAAAGATGCTCCCATGTTACTTGCTTTAGTGATTTTTTTCAGGATTTCTATTTCCTTCACTTAAGTTTGCTGCAGAGCTTTCTATCCACAGACACCGTGTAGAACCTTTTTGTTTATTGAATCTCAATGTGTTAATAACAAATAGTGTTTGGCTCTGCTAAAATATGCATCTACCCCCTTTAAATAGCTAATCCAGTTAGTTACCATAACCTATACTCTGCATACTCTCAGCATCCAAAACGATCAGGGAAAAAAAAAAGCTCTTGTGTACAGAAAACAACAGTGAACTTAAACCTTACATATCTTTCCTTCATTTTGGAAAACACAGAACCCAAATGATCCTCTCAACACTGTCCAAAAAGAGTAACTCCAAGCCTGCTGCAGTGTAAGCACTGTAAGCAGGTAAGCACCACGTAAGATTTTGCTTTGTTGAGCAACAGCACAAAAGACTCAGCTCCAGGATAATCAATCAAAAATGGACTCTGCATATTGACAGGATGCTAAGTTACTAAGACTGCATGTATACTAAAAATATTTATACAATATTTTCTCTTTGAACAAGTAGTAATTTTGTCTGTGACAAGGAAAAAAAGAAAGAAAGAAAAAAGCACACAAGTTTTTGAAACAGATGCCAAAGATTTTATACAAGGAATGTCGTGGCTGCTTTTTCTTTGTGCATTAACATGGTAGTAAAGCTACATGCATAAAAGCACACAGGGCACAGCCTACACACCAAGAACACGTTGCTAGCACAGAGGGCACAGCCTACACACCAAGAACACGTTGCTCACCCATTAAAAAAATAAAAGTCCTTTGAAGCACAGAATTATGCTGGATGTGCAGAATGTCTTTTAAGAGATGATTTCTACCTGCTCGTGCCCTCCCTTGGGCAACTGCCACTTTATGGCAGACTTTGCTTACAAAAACATTAAACAGTCCCCAGTACACTCAGCCAGCACCAAAGGTGTCCTGGAACATCTTGCAAGTCTACTTCCATGTGTAAGCTGGACGTAGCTGTGAAGGGGCAATCACTTTGTGAGTATGTTCTTTCAGAGACAAAGTGAGAACAGAACCACTTCTTACAAGGAAAAAGTCAGTACACTTGTTCAGAAGATAGTCTTTTATAGCAGTTAATTTAATAATACAGCCCAGAAACAGGGTGTGGGGCAGTCATCTACACAAGAGCACATTTAATAAGCTGGGGAAAAAAATATCACAGTTCCAGGACATGGCATCAAACTCCAGTCACTCCAAGAGGAGACAATTCTCATGTGGTAGAAGAGTTCTTGTCTATGTAAGCCAAGAAGGGAGAATTTTAGGCAGTTCAATCCACAATGGGCTCTTACTTCTTATCACTGGAACCACAAATCCACAGTACAAGACAGTATTAGTTAGGTTAAATGGCGCTTTTGATAACAAAAATCAGTGAATTCGTTGCAGTCCTTTAATAAAATAATGAAGTCCAGTGAGTGCCAGTTGCTAGGAGCAAAGAAGAAAGGTTTCCATTTTCCAGGTGGATTTGTAAGTTCATATTATTAGAAAAAAGGTAAGTCAGATCTGTGCAACCACATCTGAGAACACAGGGGCTCCAGAGACTCCAGGATCACTTAAAAAGTGGGGGTAAAGAAAACTCATCACAACCCAAACAACTCAAACTTCCTATTTCAGAATTGCCTACATAACTTGTTCTCTTGTTCTGCTCTGGACAAAAATTTAACTGCAACAACCTGGCAGAGAAACTTGAAGAAAACCTGAGTACATGAGAACATTGTCAGGGAGATCAAAACCCTGCTACCTTTTGATCTGGTATTGAAGTTGAAATGGCAAAATCAGAATGCTTTGCCTTGTGCCACATGATTTGCTTTACTTTCAGAGCTCTGCTGGTCTCTACCAGCAGGTCTGTTTCAACTTGATACCTCTTGCACCGCAAGACCACTGCTCACATCACAGTTCAAACAAACTTGCTAATGAATCTGGGTTAACACTTCCACGGCCAGAAGTACGGCATCTCCAGATGTGGGGTTGGTTGAATTACCAGGTGTAATTCATACATCAACACTGGAGATTTCCTGGCAGCACAGAGTCCAAACCTCCCTCACAGGACATCGTGATCAGCAAGACATTCCAAAAGACGAATCAGAAGGCCATAAGTCTGATCCAATATAGTAAGGAACAACACCATCCATCATTTGAACTAGGAATACTTAAAGCTTCATTAGCCAACCGCATCCTTAATATACTAAATTATACATAGATAGATATATAGATAGATAGATATTTATTTTTTTAAATTGGAATAAAATACACTGGATTTTGGTTTGCTCATTTACAAGGGAGCTCCCTCCCTTCCCCAGTCAATTTGAAATTAAAACCTAGAGGATGAACGTAAGCTCATTTCCAGCGTTCCAAGATGGATATAACACGAGAGGAGGCCAGAAACTGGAAACATGCACTCTGGCTGCAACAGGTTAAGAGGTGAAAGACCAGATATTTTCATTTGTAACCCTGAGAACATAAGGAATTGCAAAGATCTGGAGAAAAGCCTGGGGTTAAAGGTCACCAGGCTTTTTATTGCAGTTAAAGCAAACTCGGACTGGGTGATCCCATCCACGAGAGGGCACCGCTCTGCGGTCGTGTGAACATTCAT